GGCAAAGTGAGTGGATCAGTGTCCTCTTCCCCAAATGACCTGAGTACCTTGTGGGAGAATCTCTGTGATTCCATCCCAGGTCTGGGTGGTCCTTGTGGGAGCATTTTTCCAGACAGACTTAGGAATGGAGAGCTCCCCAAAGGCCACCTGGTCCATTCCTCTGCTCTACTGGCGGCATCCCTTAAGCCATCTCTGATGGGCAGCTGTGCCATGCCTAGGCCGTGTTCTCCCTTTCTGCATCAGTGGGTGTGTGCATGAGTGTGCATGTGCGTGCGTGTGCCTGGCTGAGAATGCATATGTCTGCCTAGTAGGAACATGGATATTTTCTTCCCTGACCATCCTGTGTTCTCTCAGCTTCCCCTTGGAGGTCCCAGGCAGGAGGAGGAAGGCTGGGTGGCTGGAGTGGAGGCCTCTGGGTCACGACCTTTTCAGAGCCTGTCTTGTTTATACTTCAGGCTGAGGCACAGGCTGGGCTGGCCCCCCACCTCCCTGTCCCCTCAGTCCCTTCCCTGATGTAGGAGCTGGTCCTGGCCTCTCAGGGTCTCAACTGCAGTAAGGAATGCCCGCCCTCAGCAGATGGACATGTCGCTGGAGGCCAGGTGGCTGGAGGCCACAGGGGAATGTAGGACCGTAGCCCTAGAGGGAGAACACAGGCCCATCTGGCAGGCATTAGCAGGCAGGGGCAGTGGCCTGCACCCAATGGTGTGAGGCTAGAAATGCCCCTTTAGGCCTAGGGAGGGGCCAGCCAGTGGAGAAATGTACGTGTCCCAGGCATATTTGGGGCTGAAATGCAATCCTTCCTTCCCTCTCGCCAGGTTTGCTTTGAAAACTCTTCCGCTGCCAGCTGACCAGCCTGCCCAGTCAAGGCCTCCAGGGCCCCAGGCCCCTGTGCATGAGTACAGCGGGCTCCTGAGGGATGCTGGAGGAGTGGCGCCGCTGCGCTCCAAGCAGCCCTGAACCCCCTCCCTAGCCAGCTGCTTCCTTCTCGTTCTCCACTCCACTCCATCCCAACCCTCCCTCAGCAGTTTTCCAGCCTCTGGGCTCCATCCTATCTATCCTCTGCAGGAAGAGGCTGGAAGCTGTGGCAGGGTGAGAACAAGGCCTGGCTGTGCAGCCTAGGACAGCATTAAACCTTTCTGAACCTCAGTTTTCTCATCTTTAAAGTGGGAGTGAGGACTATCCACACTCTACTTACTGCCTTGGAAGGGTATTGGTGATGCATTGTTGAATGAAAACAGCAGGATGTGGTACAGGATGCATTGCAGATGATCTGGAAGGACATCTGATAAGCGATAGGCAGAGGTTATCCCTGGAGTATGGGAGTCGTGAGGGAGGGACAGAGCAGTGGGTGTGGGAGAGGAGAATTTTTATATTTTACTTAATGTACCTTGATGTTGCTTGAATTTTATTTCAACAAGTATGTACTCTTTTGTAATTAAAAAAATGTAAGGGTTCTATTTTAAAGGGTTGTTGCCAGCTTTAAATGTTAATGTAGATTTCTTGAATGAATGAATGAATGAATGAAGGCCTAGCGCGTGTCTGGCTCAGGACGGGCTTCTCTTTTCCCCTGTAAGCTAGCTCTGACTCAAATCTCCATCCACCTTCTTACTGCGGGTTCTTCCTCTGAAGGGGTTAAGCCAGCAGCACTTCGGAAGCAGAATAAAGGGAGTCCGGAAGCCCCCAGTGAGGCCACAGTGGGACGTGTGGGGTGGCATGGAGGCAGCATGCCCTGTCCCACCTCAGTCCCCAGCAGGCCATTAGGGCCAGCCCACTCTGCTCAGCTCAGAACCTGCTTCCAATTACCCATGAAACCTGAGCTGGAAGAGACCTATTAAAGCCCCATTTAGTTTGATCCCCCTAGGGGCCAGGGATCTTTTCCAGCGACGTCCTCTTACTTGTCCGACTGGGACTCCAAGCCTTTTGGATGTTATCTCCTTCTGGGTCAATATTGTGACAGCTCCAGCTGTGACCCAGGCCACCCTGGAGCCAGAGATGATCTGGGCCTGCTGTGGTGTAGGGGGCCCCCAAACCCAGCCCCCTTCCTATCTCTGGGCTCTCAGAGGCAGTGAGCAGTCACAGCAGACAGACTCACCTCCAACAAGAGCCCAGTCAGGCCTACACCCCTCCTTCCAGACTGGTCTGCAAGTTGCCTGATGGCTTCTGGCCTACCTGGTCATCCCATGGGAAGTTCTTACTGGTAGGGACTGTCTTTGGCATATTCCCGGTCATGCCTGGTACAAGGTCCCATGTTTCATAACACCCATTACATAAGAAATAATAAATAATGGTGATTAACGACCTCCTTCCCTTGTCTCTGGGCTTGCCTGGGTCAGACCTCCCAAGGAGGGCACAGGAGCTCCAGGAGGAGGAGGGGAGTCCAGGGCGTTGGGGGGCACCCACCCTCCCTCCACGCCCTCCCCAAACATCTCTGCATGGTCTCGCGCATGGCCACTCCCTGGAGAGCAAGAGAAAGCCACCAGGAAAGGTAAGGCAGGGGCCCCAAACCTCCTCAGAGAAGGAGGACACTAGCATGGATGTGGTGTCCCGGGGCACATTCTCATGTTCAGTTGGCCTCAGCACCCTCAGGACCACCCTGGTGAGGGATCCTGCCAACCGAAGCCTGCCCTCTCCCTGCCCTCCTGAGGCACCCCTCGGGTATGGGCCTCTAAGCACCTCTCCTGTGGGTGGGAAGTCCAGGGCTGTGCTCCAGGGACCAGGCAGGACTGGGCTGGACCCTTGGGGGTGGTCTGCTGGGAGAATTTGTGGCTTCTTTCCCAAATTCTGGAGCAGCAGAGAGGGAGTGACTTGCACTTTGGGGGCAAGGCTGGGGCAGCCACTTGGAAGTGAGGGGAGGGCAGCAGGAAATGGAGGATAAGAAGGTTCTAGAGGGAGGAGTGCCGAGAAGGATCTTGGGAGCAGCGCACGGAAGTGGCCCAGCTAATCCTCTCCTCAGAGTCCCCTCTGGGCCCCTCAGAGCTGCAGAGGCCATGAGACAGAACCAGAACAGTGTGTGGGGGGACTTCTAAAGGACATCCAGGAGTCTCCTGCCTCGGACACCCTCCTCCAGCCCTGTGGGTGGATATGGATCCCACGGTTGAGGTCTTTGCAGACACAGATTTTGTGGCCTTTGTAAACGAGTCTAGCCTAAGCCTCCTTGTTGCACTTTAAACCTCTAACTCCTTGTTCCATCTAAAGCGGGTTCACATGAGTGGACCCTCCTTCAGTGTTAACCTCTTGCTTTGTTCCTCCAAAGTTTACTCTGAAGAGGAAAGAGGACCACAGACCTGGCTTCCCCCGGGGACTCTGTTCCCATTGCCATCCCCAGTGCCAGGGCCCAACATATGCAGCTCTGCACAGGCCCAGGGAGGGCTCCTGTTGCCTGGGGACCAGGACAGAATCATTATCTCTTGTTGGACCCCTCCCTAGCCCTCCTAGTCTGGTTGCCATCTCAGTAGGAGACGGGGTGCTGAGGGCTGGAGGCCAGGGGCCAGGTCACCATTGGGCCAGACCCCTGCCACTCACAGCTGCTCATCACCACGGCCTGGAAACCTCACAGGAGTGCTTCATTTATCTCTGTCAAAAGTCGGGATGCAATGTGCAGCCCCTCCTCACACCCCTGGAGATTGGGGGTGCATGGAAGGCAAACTGACTAGCCTTGACCTTCCCTAGTACCCCCAGCTTGGATGGAAGGAAGTGCACCAGGACACGTCCACCCGGGTGCACATAGAGATTCACCCGCATATATGAGCACACACCTTCAACACACACAAACACCCACACAGGTACACATGTGCACACATGTATTGGCCGAGAGGCACAGGTTCATCCGCATAGGCCCACATGCGCACACATGTGCACACACACACTTTCACACGTGCAAAGGCACATTCATTCCTACACATTTCCAAACACATGCATAGCTCCCCGTGCATATGCTTGCTTATATCTTCCCATGACCATATGCGTATATCCATCCACACACAGTGACACACTTCATGTGCACTCACATAGGACATTAATGGGAGGCTGTCAGCTGCTGCTTGGTTCAAATTATGAAATATATCATGGGAGTTGTTCAAAAGCCCTAAAGGGGAGGGGATGGAAGAGGAACCCTGGGCCCCCAAGGGAGGTTTCTCTTATGCCTTTTCAGAAGCCATCAGCCTCCCAGGGTACCAGGAGTTGGCAGGCCTTGCAGAGTGGGTAGGATTTCAATAGGTGAGCATGGTGGTGTGTGTTCCAGGAAGAGGCCTTGGCCTGAGCAAGAGAGTACAGAGGGGGAGGTTCAGGCCAAGTTTGGGGGAAGGCTGGGGGACAATTTGATGGGAGTGGAGGGTCCTCTGGTACAGCCTAGGGGATAAGGAAGCCAAAAAGTGCAAAAGGCTTTTTTGCAATGGGGAGCCATGGAAAATGTTTGAGCAGGAGAGTGTCAAGTTCAGAATGGCTCTTTGGGAAGCTTCATTCACTCAGTGCTAAGGGGACACAGAGTGGGGAAATGAGTGATTCTGCCTGGAATGGGTGGGGAGGAGCAGGAACAGCTTCATATCTGACCTGGGCCTCAAGGGATGGATAGGAGTGTTCCAGACAAGGAAGGACAGGAAGAAGGACCAAAGCTGAACCTGGCAGCTAGGGATCGGGGAAGGGCTGTGTTATTATTCGTGTGTGCCCTGTAAAGCCAAGCACAGGTTGTCTTGAGCTGAACATGGCATCCTTGCCAGAATCAGGAGTCCAGGCAGCTATGACCAAGTCCACCAGGAGATTCAAAAAGAGGCGAGTGAGGGGCCGGCCCCGTGGCTGAGTGGTTAAGTTCACATGCTCCCCTTCAGCAGCCTGGAGTTTCCCTGGTTCAGATCCCAGGCATAGACCTAGCACCACTCATCAAGCCATGCTGAGGTGGCATCCCACATAGCACAACCAGAAGGACCCACAACTAGAATATACAACTATGTACTGGGGGGCTTTGGGGTAGAAAGAAAAAATAAAAAGAAGATTGGCAACAGATGTTAGCTCAGGTGCCAATCTTTAAAAAAAAGAAAAAGAGGTGAGTGAACAGTGCCTGTTGCTACCCTGCAGCAGGCTGCCTGACCCTGGCAGGGAGAGGAACTATTCTGAATGAGTGAGAGCCATGGGGTGAGGACACAGGAGGGGGCCTCATGACCAGCTGGCTGGCCTTCCAGAGGGACCCACTCAGGTCTCACCGGCACCTGGGTAAAAAATGGGTGGAGGTATGGGGACCACCTGGTCCTGATCCTTTGACATATCCCCTCCCTGGGAAACCTCACTAAATACATTCTGGCCAGTCTTCACCCACCCGTGACCCCACCATCCTGCTGAGATCCATAGCCGAGGGGCCCAGCACTCTTGGCTCCAGCCCCACTATGGCCCCATCTCCAGCCTCCGTCTCTACAGAGCGGGAAACACCACATCCCAGCTGTCTGTCCCAAATCCACCTGGAGGCCAGCCAGCTTGGCAGAAGCACATCTTAGTGAGGCCAGACCCAGGAGACACTGCTGGGAAGAGGCAAGGACTAGAAGGAAGCAGCTGGGCCAACGTCGGGCCCCTTTATGGGCCCTACCCTGCAGGGTTCCCCCTGGCACATCCATGCACTTACTTGCCCATTGCTCCGTCTTCTGAGCCCCTGGTCCCCTGGGCTGCAGGCTCTAGGCCTTTCCGTGCAGTCCTGAAGAGATGCAGGTTGCCATGACAGCTGCGGTTGGACTCCACCCTGATCGCCAAAGGCCTGGAGGCCAGCCTGGAGCACCACTTGGGACAGAGTGAATCTTGTTGTGAACCCAGAGTCCCATCTTGCGGACTTGAAAGCTTGTCAACAGACTTACGCAGAGACCCTCACTCTGAGAACAACTCCCTCCTTCTTCCTGGCCCTCCCAGCCTCCCACAGCCAGCAGCTTGCATCAGCAGCAACAGCTGCACAGCGCTTGGGGCAGCCTGGGGCCACCACCGCCACTGTGGAAGGTGAAAGGAGGTACGTGAGGGCCCAGGGCCACTGCACCCTCCCTAGTTCTGGGGAACAGTCTCTTCCCATGCTCCAGACATCAGCCCTGCTGGCCCCCTAACCCCTGAACAGGCTCCTCCCTCCCTTCCCCTCTGCTTTATCCTCTACCCATTCAGCAACCAGCTGGGAGACACTTTTCTGCTGCCCATGGCAACTGGGTGCCACAACGCGTTTGCTACATTTCATGTAAATTCCCCCTCTGCTCCTTCTGCCTACCAGAGAGAAGAGCCAGAGAAACCCAGAGTCAGGGCATCACAGAGCAGGATAGAGACAGCCGGAGGACACAGCATCTGAGAGACAGTCCCCATGGACACCTGCTCAGGGGGAAGGAGACACAGGAGAGAATGACAAGACAAAGGCCCAGGGTCAGGTGACTCCCCCTGAATGGTGCCACACGAGGGACAGCTTGGGTGCTTCCCCGGGGGACGGGTGGCCAGTGCTGAGGCAATCCAATGAGGGCAGTGGACTGGCCCCTTCCAACTTCCCCACTGCTGCTCTCAGCCAGGTCCGGGGCTCTGGAAGGGTCACCTGGTGGGCAGCGGGTGGGGAGACGGGATTAAGGGTCTGAACTTCGGAGTCAAGACACTTAGATCTGCCTCTGACAGGCTGTGTGACCTAGAGCAAGTGCCTTCACCTCTCCATGCCTCAGTTTCCTCGCCGAAAATGGGTCTACTCTCGTACCCGCTATTCTTGTGAGACTTGAATAAGTTAACACTTGCAAAGTGTTCAGCAGACTTCCTGGTGCCTAATAAGCAATCTCTGGGTTAAGCTATTATTGCTCCTATTTTCTGAGCTTTGATTTCCTTGTTTGTCAGAGGGAGATAATAATACATACATCCCAGTGGCTGTGGAGAGGGAGAGGCGCATTCGGTAAATGTCAGTGCGGGGTCCCACTCCACATTTCCCTGCCCCGGGGCAAGGACCCACCCCATGTCCCAGCCCCATGCCTCACTCTGCTGCAGAGGCCCGCCCGGTCAGGCCTCATGCCCAGTCAGGCAACAGGTGGCAGGGCCGGCAGAGCACAGGTGCAGGCTTGCAGGGGATGTGGGGGGTGGTCCTGCCTGTTTCCTCCCCACACACGACTTCCTCCAGCTGCTAGCTGGGCAGGCTATGCCTGGAGGAAGCCTGGGCGGAGGGAGGCAGCAAACAGCCACGTGCAGCCGGGGCTGAGTAAGTGCTGCTTCCTGCTGCCGTGGTCAGCAGCTTCAGCAACAGTGGCCAGTGGGCGGCTCACAATGCTTGCTGGGATAGGAGCTCTGCAACTGGGCAGGGTCACTTCCCTGAATTGTCCTCACTGCCAGCTCCCCGCAGCACACCTGGCTGGTCTGCTTGTCTGCCTGGAGGACCATGGGGTGTCCAGCCAGGCCTAAGAACACCATCCTGGGTGGCAGCCAGCACCCAGTCCTCACCAGGCCAGAAGGCAGAGGCTTGGCTGGGCACTTGCTCTAGGGTCTGGACACAGCATGAGGCTGGGACCCACAGAGAGCCGACATGAGCGTGCAAGCAGGCATGTCCACTTGTCTGTGTTCACTCTGTGCAGAACTCTCCACTTGCACTGGGCCAAGCCACCTGCAGCCCTCATTAGCAACATCTCTCACTCTCATCCTGGGGGGCTTTGGATACAAAAGACCCCAGTAGACACACAGCCAGAAGAAATGCAAATGGCTGATACTCACATGGAGAAATGTGCAGCTTAACTGGCCAGTAACCAAGGAAATGTATGCAGAGCCAACCCTGAGACACACTGTCACAGATCTGATGGCAAAGATGTAACCGAATGATAATACCAAGGATGCCAGAGTGTAGGGATCTCACGGTTCCTGGACATTGCAGGGAGGAGTGTAAACTGGAACAGCCTTTCTGTAGAGCAACTTGACGATAAACATCAGAAGCCCTTGACCTAGAAATTCTATTTCTAGGAATTTAAGGGATACAGGCAACAAATACGTATAAAGATGTTCATTGTAGCCTTGTTAACAGAGAAAATATTAGCTATAACCTAAATGCCCAACTATAGGTGGATTTGAGAAGAAAAATTTAGCCACAAGGTGGTAAGTATTCCCTGGGAGTACAATATTAAAAATGATGCCAAATAGCCACAGTCTCAAACCTTACTGCGCAGGAATTCCCCCGGGGGGCTTGTTAAAATGAAGATTTTGATTCAACAGGTCTGGAGTGACACCTGAAATTCTTCATTTCTCATAATCTCCCAAGGGATACTGAGTTGCTGGTCCCCAGACCACACTTTGAGGGTCAAAGCCATAGAGTTTTCACTACTGATATGAAAAAGCATTACCAAAGCAATAGAGAAAAAAAGATGGGCATGCATGGAAAAAAATCCAGAGAACAGACAACAAAATATTCATAAGAGTTTTCTCTGGGTGATGAGGTTGAGTGATTTTTAATCTTATTCTTTCTGCTAATTTGTATTTTCTACAATGGATATATATTGTCTAATTAAAACAAAGTGTGTTCATACTGCCATGCCACACTCTGAAGGTGAGAGGTGGGTCTCAATGGAAGGAGAAACATTGCTGAGACCTGTTATGAAAAGTGTGTCCCTTGGCACAAGAGCCAGCCCTGAGCTGGAAAGGCCTGGCTAGGCAGAGGCCCAGGAACCAGGTGCTTTGAACCTGGAGCATGAAGAGGCTGCAAAGTGTAGGAGGAACTCCCCAGTGGTGGCTAGCAGGTCAGCTGTCCATGTGGAGGCAGGCGCAGGCCAGGAACTGAGGTCCCCAGGCCCCTGACACTGGAGGGCAGATGTCTCGGGCTCTGGACAGTGACGCATTCCTGTTTTCTTGGTGTTTGTGTCCCCTTAGTCTTTCCTTCCCCTGAGTAACCACTGAGACCAACAGGGTGGGAGCCATGGGAATGAGGAAGAGAGAGACCCCCAAAGGCTGGTGAGTCCAGCTTCAAGGGCAGAGGTCAGACTCCCAAGATGACTGCTCCAGAAGCTCTTCTTCCAGGATCAACTTCCGAGGGTGTGGGACTGCTTCCCTGGGGGATAGGCTTCCCGCACAAAGTGGGTGCTCCGTTCTCCCACCTGAAGACGGGGTGGCTCTAGAGAGGGCCAGCAAGTGTTTGCTCAGTATTTCGTTGGGTAACCTGCTGGATGGTCTTGGGAGGCCCTGCAACCATCTCTACCTGAGCTTTCTCCACTGTAATAGAGAGGAAATCTACCCAGGGATCTGAGAACTTCAAATGCTTAACAAAGTCTCTGCAAGTTGTAAAAGGATATATAAAAGCTGAGAAGCCTACCTATCCTCTTCTTTTGCAGAGAGAAGATGACATGAGTTATCCATAATGCCCTGTGGGGCTTGCCGCTGGAGGGTCTGCTCCCCGAACATTGCACCAACCTTGACCCTGGGCACTCGAATGTTCGTTTTTCTGTGCCACTGGTTCTCAAAGAATGGACAGCATTGAGATGATCTGGGGCACATTCGAGATGATTTTAGTTAGCCTTTAATAACATTGAATTATGGAGTGAGAAAATTGTCCCCCTTCTCTATCCTCTTTCCATCCTTGTAATGAGTCAAGGAAAAAGCCTCAGTCAGGGGCTAATGTGTCTCTAACACCTCATTAACACTTGCTCCTAACGCGTGTCCTTTTTTAGAAAAAGAGAGCAGCCCTCAGGCGCAGAGTCTTCACCAGCAACATTCAGCTATAATTTAATTGATCTTCACAGTTACCTTTCTATTTAAAGTAGTGATATAAAATTTCCTTTACAAATTTTTTTGAGTAAAACGAAAAAAAATTCAATCTAAACAAATAAATAATAGCATCAGTGGTATTTGGATATGGTGCACACCATGAATGTGACACAGGGTTATGGAAGAGTTTTGGTCCCTGGAAAAATGCAGACACCCCTGGAAGGAGTGATCCCTCCGATTGGCTCTCCTGGGAACCCCCACCCATCGCTGCTTACACCAGCTCTTGGTCTTGGGGTGACTCCTCAGCTTTTCTTCCTTGTTCTGCCGTGTTTTGAGCATCTCAGGGGCTGAGAGTGTGGCTTAGGCCTTAGAATCTCCCCCAGCACAGGGCCTGGAGCAGGACAAATGTCATCCAAAAAGTGCTCAGAGACCTGAGGTCAGAGGTCAGGCTCCACGTGATGGCATATCCTATTTGCCATATCCAAATACCAACCAGGAGCCTGGAAACTGAGCTCTGTTCTCAAGCCCCATGTTGGCCAGCGGTGTGGCCCTGGACAAGTCCCGAGTGTCTTTGAATCTCCATCTCCTCATTTGACTGCCTCAGGGGTGTTTTCAGCACACTGAGTATGTGAAAGGAGTTTGACATCAATAAATCTCCATAAGGGATTATTAATATTCTTATTGGTTGAATCACAAATCCAGTGTCACTCAAAACCTTTTGGGTGCAGACAACAAGTGAAGATGAGGTAGGAAGACAAGAGGGGGTGATAAGATGGGGTGAGAGGCAGGAGGGCTGGAAGGGAGGATGCCAAGGACTGGACCCCTCCCTCACAACCTGGGCTAGGTTTGGGAGGACCTGGAAACTGCCCTCTGCAACTTCAGGCACAGGCCTCCCCCGCCACTGGGCCTCCCCAGGGATGTCCAGCACAAAAAACCTGGTCTTTGGAGCCACGTGACTAGTGTTCAAGTTCCAGCTTGGCCACTTACTGGCTGGGTGACCTGAGGCAAATTACTTAACCTGTCTGTGCCTCACCATTCTCACGGATAAAATGGGGCCGATGCCAACTCTGAGGGCTGTTGTGAGGATGAAGCGAGATCAAACACATGTACACACGAGACCTGACACTCAGTAAGTGCTCAGTAAGCGTGGATTTCGGGAAACTCCTGCAGGTTCCTGGAAGAAAGATATGGAAGTGATTCAAGGTAGATGATGCTATCTGGAGCACTTGATTTGTAATCTGGGAGAATTGGACCCCTTCCCCCAAAGCTTTCCTCACCTAAAGCTAGAGCTGGAAAGTTAGAGAGTGAAATTGCAGGTGTCAGCCTCCAGACCCGACTCCACCTCTACTCCCGCCTCACCCCCTCCCACCCCACCCCTTTAAACCCAAGGCAGGAGCCCATCCTGCCCCTTAGGGCCTCCTGGGCTATCCACCAGAAGCCCCTGTTCTTCTCTGAGAACAGGGGAGCTGGAGGCAGAGGAGGATCTTTGGACAAGCAGCCAAGTGTTCTCTGACTCAAAGAAGAGCCTTGGGCCCCAGGGTCCAGCTGGAGGTCCACTGTCTGTCTGCTGAAGCCTCCACTAGACTTTCTGTCTCCTCCACCCCTGGGAATCCAACCATAAGAGGAACTAATCTGGCTCCCCTCTGCACCCCTTGCCCCCAACAAAGTTTCCTTCCTGTGTTCTCTGGGGGAAGATGAGAACTGGGGAGGGAGGGATGCGGCTGGGGAGGCAAGTCCAGCCCAGCTGGGCCACAACATCTGTATCCTTAACAGTGGCCTCTCCATTCCTGCTTCAAACTGAGAGGGGTTGGGAGAGCTGCAATTCTTCTCAGGAAACGGTGACATGACTCACTCCCCAGGACAAGCCATGGAAGAATGCAGCCTTTTTTTCTATGAAGCTCATATAGAACTGTGGAACTCATTTTCTCACCTTTATACGGCAAAATGAGGAGCAGCACGTATGTTAACAGAAAACTTCAAAATAATGGTGATTTAAACAAGATAGAAGTTTATTTTCCCCTCCTATAAAATAATTCTGGATGTAAGCAGGCCACAGCTGGTATGGCAGCCCTGTAAAGTTTTCAGAGATCCAGTTTCTTTCTAACTCATCTTCATGGTCCAAGATGACTGCAAGAGCTCCTATCATCACATTGGAGTTCTACGTAAAAGCTTGGCAGACAAAGAAGTAGGACATGCTCCTCTTTTTAAGGAGACTTCCCAGAAGTCAAACCCAACACTTCCACTTACACCCAGAAGCCTAAGAAGCCTAAGGGGCAGGGATTGGTCAGAACTCAGTCGTAAGGCCATAGCCAGCTCCAAAGAAGGCTGGGAAAGGAACTCTTTAATCTGGATGGCTTCGGGTCCCATCCTGTCTCCTCCCATAGCAACTATCCTGATTCAGGCCACTCTCAGCTCTGCAATAACCACAGATCTGGCCTTCCTGCCTCCAGGCCAAACTCTCCACCTGCCCTCAGTTGTTTCTCTGAAATACACATCTAGCCATAGCACTCTCCTGCTCAAGAACATGCAATGGCTCCCTGGAGCCCTTGGAATAAACTATGAACTCGCAGCACTGCCTTGAAAGCAGTTCACAATCTGACCCCAGCTTTCCCTCCCAGGCTCATCTCCAGGCACAGCCCTTCCCCTACCCTGCATATAGTCCAGCCCCTCCAGATTCCTTGATGTCCTGCAAATAACCCATACCTCACCCAGCTCCCCTCGCTGACGACAGTGCTCTTTCTGCCCTCGGATTCTTGATAAACTGTGATTCACCCTGTGAGATGCTGTACAAGCATTACCTTCTCCATGTGAAGCCTTTCTTGCCCGCTGTGTGGACCTCCCTGGAAGTCTCTGGAACTCTCTATCTTTCACATGCCTGATGGCCCTGGAGAAGACAGGCCATCTAAGGCTCAGAGTTGCTCCCGCCCTGCAACCATGAGTCTGCGGCAGAGGCCCTAGGGGGCTGTTTTGCACAGACCTGACTTTTTTTTTTTTTTTTTAAGATTTTTAAATTTATTTTTTATTTTTCCTTCTCCCCAAAGCCCCCCAGTACATAGTTGCATACTTTCGTTGTGGGTCCTTCTAGTTGTGGCATGTGGGATGCCGCCTCAGCATGGCCTGATGAGCAGTGCTAAGTCCGCACCCAGGATCCAAACAGGTGAAACCCTGGGCCGCCGAAGCGGAGCGCGCGAACTTAACCACTTGGCCACGGGGCCGGACCTCAGACCTGATATTGACAACCTTAAGCCTTTCCCACCGGACTGGAAGCTCCTTGAGGGCCATGATCGTCTCAGTGTCTCAAGCACTAGGCCCAGGGGCCGGCACAGAGCAGGGCCGACTGAGTGGAGGGCCCACAGAAGACGCAGCTCCTTCTCTTGGAGTCTGGCTGAGTCACTGGCCCAGCCCCTCCCTCTGAAGTACAGAATGACAACTTGACCAGGGGCTAACGCTCCAAGGGGTGACATTAAAATGGAACAGATACAGGCTTTGTGGGGATCCTCATCCAGATCCACACTGTTCCAATTAGGAGATGTTTAGTCTATAAAGTCTCCGCTGACCTCCGACCTGTAACAGAGACAACGTCATTCCTGACAAGAACAGAAGCCCCTCGCCAGCCCCTGGCCTCTCGGCTTCAGGGTGTGCGCCAAGCTGAGACTCCAGGCCCTTCGCCCCACTGCCAGCTCTGGACGCAAGCAATGGCCTTCGGGCCACTGGCTGCCTCCCCAGACTCTGCAGCCTCCGGACACAGTGGCCTGAGGGTGAGGGGCAGGGATGGTCTTTGGGTTGCTGTTGCCCTCTCCCTCCCCCACGGCCCCTCCCCCAGGTGCTCAGGGAAGTCCTTCACTTACTACGCAGAAAGCAAGCATCGCTTTTTTTCCTTTGGGGGAGTCCCTGCAGAAGACTTTTGTCACACTGTCACCTTGAAGACATGCCTAGGGCACTAAGACCTCCTGTCCCAAGAAGCCAAGGGCCCTGGTCCTAGGGCCCATCTCCCTTCCCCTTTCACAGAATCTTCCAGCTTCTGGGTGGGTGCCTCCCCGGGGGAAGGGATGGTCAGGATTGCCAGGCCAGGGAGATCCGATATGTGTTTGATCACGCGCACACACCCCAGCATCCTCTTCCCCACCCATTCTGCTCCCGTAGCACTTTGCACCTTGACTCTGGTTCTTCAGATGCCAATTCAGAATGATCTGTGATGTCTATGCACCAGGATCATCTTTGTCTCCTTATGCAACTGGCATAGAGAAGGACCCAGGGGTGTGGGTGCCCTCTTCTCTCCCATCCTCTCCCAATATCCCCACTATGGAGAATGGGGTCTCCGAAGTGGCTCAGCCTCAGAGGGCAGAGGAATAACCCAGCAGCTTTGCCTCCTGTGGGATGGCTTTCGGGCCATCCATGGTGACCATGGGGGGGTGGTCTGCCTGAAGCCTGGGGGGTGGTAACCTGGCTCACCTCTTTCCCCTTTCCCCAGGAAATCATTACAGTAGCTGAAGTTATTAAGCATTTACAGCATATCAGGCACCATTCTACATGGCCAACACCCACTTTCTCATTTAAACCACACAACCCGCCTCTGAGATGGGCTTAGAAAGCTGACAAGACTTGCCCAAGGTCACACAACTAGTGGCAGGCTCTTAAGCCCTGCTGGACACTGCCTCATTGCACGGCCTCCGCTGGACCTCGTCCATCCCTCTCCTCTCTGCTGCTTGCTAGCCGAGGGAACTTGCATGAGCAACCTCACCTCTCTGAACCTCTGTTTCCCCATCGGAAAGGTAGGGGCAACAATCTTCTCTCAAAGGTGGCTGGGAGATTCCCACGTACTGAGCGTGTGAAGCACAGAGCTGGCACACAGGAGGTGTTACATGGGCAGGACCTACTACCAGCCATCATCCCTCAGGCCTCCCCAGTGAAGTGGGGGATGAGAAGGGTGATCTGCCATCCCACCCACCCAGCTGTCACAGAGGCGGGACAGCCCCGAGCCTCCAGTTCTCAGAGAGCTCCGTTCCACATCACAGCCGATTAGTTACAAACAGCTTCCTCTCCTCGCGTATCACTTACACAACAGAGAGAAAGGGGCGATTGTTCTTGAGGGGGAAGGTCTCCTGGCCCCTCTCACCAGGGCTGCTCAGAGATGCTGTGGGACAGCCAGGAGGGGCTGGAAGGAGAAGGGGGGCATAGTTGCCGGAAAGAAGGATGTGGAGGGTCTCAGCAGTTGGGAAGGGACAAGCTGAGTGTCCACCCTAGTGGGCAGCAGGCAGGCGGGGGCCTGAGGCTCAGCAGGGGCCTGAGTTGTGAGGGCAGGAAGGGGAGGCAGCTACGGCACCAGCTCACGAGCCCGATTCCTCGACAGTAGCTTGCCAAGTAGCCCCAGCTGCGGAGGACTGCCCCCGACTGGGTGGCCAGGGCACAGCAGGTGCCCAGCCTCTGGGTTTCTCAGGAGCATTGGTCACCACTAGGATCTAAACAAACACCCTCCCTCAAAGCAGCCATGACTGGCCTGCCCTCCAGTCCCTCTGGTTTCAATAAAGCCCAGTCTGGGGCCTGGAAGGGCCTGGAAGGAAGCTAGTGTCGGGGAGGCTGCTGGACACAAGATACCGGCTGTGGCCCCAGAGCCTCCCTCCGCCCTTAGTGGTCCTTGACTTTGCTGCCACCACTAAGCTAGGTCCTTCCACTAAAGCATGGGGCCCAGCACGCACAGAGTACCCCTTTGTCAGTCCTCTTAGCACAGCTGAGGCCAGTTGGCATTTTCACAAAGGGCTTTACTAAATACTAAGGGAGAACAAAAGGGAAATAATTACAGAAAACACGAAAAACCCAGCCCCGGCTGCCAAATTCCCAAAGTACAGGTTTCCAATCCTTTGGTGACGACATGTCGCTCCAAAGGCCTGGGACAAGGCCGTGGGCACCTCGCCTGGCTTCCCTTGTTCGCAGCCCTCATGGCGGGTGCCATCTTGTTTCCCGCCCCTGGGAACCACTCGGTCACACATGGGCTCTGCTCTTGTCTCCCTTCCAACTCAGCCCCACCCCAGGCCTCCCACCGGGTTCTGGTCTCTGGCCTGAGGCATGAGCCTTGTCCCCTGGAGGCTGGCGGGACTGTGGTGACCAGCCCAGGGCATGATTACACAGTAACAGGACATTGTTCTCCCACACTTACCCCTACCAGAGAGGCCCACCCAAGTTGTCTTGAGCATGGGGTCCAGGAGGGCTACCTCTGAAGGCTGAAGGACATTTGGGCAAGGAACGGGCAGACTTGGAATGTTTTCCCCATGGGGAGAAGAGTGAGTGCTCTGAGGATTGGTGCAACTCAGCCATCAATCAAACACCTACTGTGCGCCAGGCACTGCACTAGGTGCTGGGGATCCAGTGGTGAACAAATGTCTGTTCTCTCAGATCTTATAGTCTGAGGGAAGACAGACAGACAGCTGGGCAGTGATGACAGTGGGGGTCAGGTGCCATGATGGAGGGGCAATTCAAGGTGCTGGGAGAACCTGGATGAGCGGCTTTCCACCCAGTGGTGGTGGCCAGGACAACCATCAGAGCCTGCCTAGAAGAAGTGCATGGAGAGATGAGAGGGTGCAGGTTGAGGCTAGGGTGAGTCCACAGGAAATCCCAGCCCAGGAGGCTGGAGGAGAAGGCAAAGAGGTCAACCAGGTACCTTCTTGCTGGTGACTTGGCTAGTTGTGGCTGCAGCATGTCTAGCCTATAAAGTGGGAAGGCCCTTGGCCCGAGCTCTCCCTGCCAGCCAGGGAGGAGGGAGTCCAGTCCCAGGTACTCCACCTCCCACCTGCCTCTGGCCACACCCAGGTCTGGGGCTCAGGGACAGGGTCCGAGGGAGTGGGCTTACCCAGGGCCACCTGGGACACTACTCCAGTGCTAGATGCTGAACTGTCATCAAGGGAGAAGGAAAAGAAAAGTAATTCAGAGGGTCAAGACATTGAAGAGGCCAGGCCAGAATGGGAAAATGAGTCAGGAAGCTGAAAGCCAAGAAATTGGGATGGGTTGAGGCAGGTATTTCAGGCTAAAACCATGACTAATGCCAAGTGTGGGAAGTCTTGTGTTTTGGGGCGGCCCTGGGAGGTAGGGGCTGGCCCGGCAGCTTAGCATGCAGAACTAGAACCTGTGGCTGCTCAGGGTGACTGCTGTCATGGCCCAGACAGTGTTCCTATGGCCGAGACCCTTGTGTTCACCTGTATGTCCCCAACTCCCGTAACAGGGTCAGCTCCAGGCCTTGGATGAGGGCTTCTCCTTCCCACACATCAACTTGTCAGAGTTTGGCAAGCACCCCCTCTGCTCCAGCAGGGGGAAGACCCAGAAAGGCTTTGAGACATAGGCCCTCCTTCAACGTATTTGAAGTCTGGTTAGCAGCAAGAGCTTCTGCTCACTGGAGAGAATTCTGCAGAAAGACCTAGGCTTGATCCCCATCTCTGCGCCTTCCTTAGTAGCTAAATGACTGTGGGCAAATTACTTAAACTCCCTGCACCTCCATTTTCCCATCTTCAAAATGGGAATAATTGAAACCTACCTCATAGGGTTATTTTGAGAATTCCGATGATAGACAGTTAAATGCAGAGCTGAGAACACTGACTCTGCCGGTGGATGTGCTCAGCTCCTGGATCTACTCGGGAGGCCTCACGACAGGGGGTCTGATTGTCCACATGGTGATGCTGAGATGTGTGTGTGTGTGCATGCATGCATGCACATGTGCAAATCCCTCTATCCTTTCACTCCTCTGCAATTGGCAGAAACATAGGATTCTTTATTTTCTATCTGTCTCATGTCCATGAAGGCAGGGACTCTGCTCTGTCACTGTAGTATTTTGAGGGTTTTTTTGGTGAGGAAGAGTGGCCCTGAGCTAACATCTATTGCCAATCCTGCTCTTTTTTGCTTGAGGAAGATTGTCACTGAGATAACAACTGTGTCAATCGTCCTCTACCTTGTATGTGGGATGCCACCACAGCATGGCTTGACAAGCGCTATATAGGTCCACACCTGGGATCCGAATCCATGAACCCCAGGCCACCAAAGTGGAGAGTGTGAATTTAACCACTGCACCACCAGGCTGGCCCCTGTAGTGTTTTTATATCTCTAACAAGAATCAAAAGTTGAATTAGAAATCATGCCTACCAGGTACCATTCCTGCACCCAGCTGCTTTGTCAGTCCCCACCTGTGAAGTAAGGACTGTTATTATCCTCATATATTTAGATGGAGCGAGCAGGGGCTCAGCGAAGTAAAGGAAGTCACCTGAGGTTATGTGGCTGGCAAGGACTGGAGTCACAGTTCAGGGGAGCCAAGCTACCAGCACACCACCCCCCCGGGACTGGATGTGAGCAAGAGTAAAGTTCTATCTAACCCATGGGACCTGCGGGGTCTTAGCCTACCCCAGCTAATTCATCTCACGACCCAAGGGTCAGGTTGAGAAAGTCCCCAGTTTAGTGACAAAAAGCCTGAGGTGTACTTGGGAGAATGACAGTCATTGCCCAGGTGTTGAGCTCACTCCAGAGTGTAGGAAGAGAGCTGTGGCATCCTCCGCCATCTATACCCTCCGCCCCCAAAAGTCAACTTCAAGGGAACCGTCACACCACATCCCAGCCCCCGGGGCATGAAGCAATATGCGGTGATGAAAGAATAAATGAGGGAATACAAATGCACGCACATACACAATATACACATGCTGTATATACATGGTTATAGGCAAATATGCCCAGTACATAAGTGCTCAAGACACTCAGCTATAGACAAGCATATACAGGACAGACATTTAATACACACGTTCATGCATAACACACACCCGTGGCCACATACGCAAATCCAAATCCAGGATAAAGACACAGAAACACATGCCTATGTATACACAGATGTTATGGGCAAACATATATGATCCAGATATGCACAAACACACATCTACTCACCCCCAAACACATGCACAGCGATCCCTACACTCCCTCTACCATAACCCTAGGCCAGGAAGGAATCTGTCTGCCCACGAGCCCTAGCATGTTGCAGCTAGTCAGAAAGTTCTCTGCGGCCCCCGCTTAGCTGTCCGGTGACTGGCCCCTGGCTCCTGGAGCTCCAGTCTTGGGGCCGGCCAGGCAGGGAGGCGGCGTCTCTGGCAGCCCCGCGTGGGTGGGCAGGCAAGCAGCGGACGCAGAGGTCACTGGGGTGAGAGCTGGGGCTGCCCTGGCCTCTCTGCTCCTGGCTGGAATGTGAGCTGTAGGGGCCGCCTCCCAGGCCTCCGTCCTCTCCCACAGCCGCCCACCCGCCCCAGCCCAGGCCAGCCCATGATCCTGAATCCTGCCAGGTTCTGGCAGCCAGGGAGGGAGTGGCAGTGATGAATGCTCAAGGACCACGGGGAGGGCACAAGCAAATGCACAAAGAGATGCGTAATCACACACAGAAGCCAGTCCAGATATTCACACACAGAGGGAGACACACACACAAAGACACAGGCGGGCATAAAAATTCACAATCCCACTGAAAAGCACATTCAGACACACTTCCAAACACATCTAGAGACACAGCAGACACATACACACACATAATCACATGAGCATACAGAGATACCAAGAGACCAGACCCCCACACAAGCCACATTTGTACATACAGAGGACACATGCAGACTCTCAGACCACACAGAGACCCATAGCACACGTGGGTCTTCACAATCACACAGAAATGCCCACACACATGCATAGGCACATGCACACACAGACACACACAGACTCCCATCCGCAGACCCCTGACGCCTTGGAGCATTTCCTCCTCCTCCTCGAACCAGGAGGAAATGCTGCACTAGGCCACTCTCCAACCCACATGTGGCGGCCTCACAGGGAGGGCCTGAGCAAACTGCTTCCCACAGGAGGAATGAGTGCTGGACCCCCAGCCAGGTACCCACAGCTGGGCTACCCTGCTGTCTGAAAGCCTGACCAGGAGGATGGTGCATGGGGTGGAGAGACAGTTCTGGAGTCACGCGGCTTGGATTTTCTCTGTCAGTTCCTCAGACACACACACACACACTCACTTTTCAAGTGTGCATATGTCTGCACAACATATACAGGCAGGGGCACTCTGGGAACCTCAGTTTCTTCATCTATAAAATAAGGTTAATAATCCTTTCGCCCCTGAGGATTGTGGGGATGACATAGGTGGAAGGGCCTGACCAAATGACTGTAGTTTCCGCAGAGGCCGCTAAGGTCACGAACCTCGTTTGCAGACGTTGGGCTCCACATCTGGATGCTCCCACTCCCGGTGGCCGGCCTAGAAGAGGGGAACAGAGCTGTGAACCCCTCTCCGCCGGCCGGCACTGCATGCTCTCGGTCCGGCGAGCCCCGGCGGGGCATTAAGGGTCGGTGTGCGGAGCGCCCCTTGCACGCGCTGCGGGGCCGGCGCGCTCAGCTCTGCGCCTCGGCCACCTCCGGGCCGGCCCGGCGCTAGGCGCTCCCTAGGACTCGGGTCTGGAGCGGCGTCGGCAGTGGGCGGGGCCGGCCCGCAGCCCCGCCCCGTTCACGGCCCCTGAAACCCAGCAGCCGAAAAGCTTCAGTCCCAGAAGGGAGCTGCTGTCTGAGAAGGAAGCCGCATCCTCGCTGCCAGCCATAAGAGAAGGGGGATCGCTCTGGGCTCCCGACGGACCCTCCCCAGGGACCCGCCTGCCCCCCGCCGCCCCGCCCCGCCGGGCGCTCCGCATCAGGTTCCCCAGCCGCAGCCTTACCTGCCGGCTCCCGACTCCCCAGGGCTTGCAGAAGATGCTCAGGCCACCGGCGGGGACCTCGAGGTCGCAGTGAGGGGGCATCCGGCCCCCCATTCAGCTCCCCTCCTCCTGTGCTAGGGCCTCCCCAGGGGGGCGAGCATGGTGGTTTTCCCTTGGAGCCTCCTGGCTTGGGACGTCTGAGAAGATGCCTGCCATGAGGCTGTTCACTTGCTTCCTGCAGCTCCTGGCTGGGCTGGCGCTGCCTGCTGTGCCCCCCCAGGTAAGACCCACCCCGCCACCCCCAGCCTGGCTCCCCTGACCTTCCCACCCCCAGCACTAGAAGCAGGGGCTCTGAAATCACAGACTCACTCTGGGGAGTGGCTCCTCCAAGGATGTCCACACACTTCCCAGGAGCCAGCTGGACCACGCCGTCTGGGAGGAGACCTCAGGCTGCACTGTCCCAGACTCTAGCTCCGGGGTCTGTCTTGGTGGGGGCAGGGAAGCCACAGGGAAGGGAGGGAGGTTTCCTGTCTGGCCCCTGGAGCTCTGGTGGCTTTGCTAAAAGCATCTCTCCACTAATCTCAGGCGGGTCCCTGGCCTTGTGGTCAGGGTCGAGGCCCCGTGACAAGGCAGGCGCCCCCAGGACCTCTGACCTGGCCTGACAGAGGGAAAGCCTGCTGAAGAGGCCATTGGTGGGGAGGCTGGGCCCTGCCCCCACCAGTGCTCTGGGCTGAGCCCAGGGCTCCTGGGTGGGCTGGGGGTGAGACAGGAGGTCATGCTGTGCCCTCTTTCCCTGGTGGGCAGCCGGAGGTCCTCAGTGCAGGGCCTGGGGAAGTGAGCAGGGCCCTTTTCCCAGGAGCCGGGTGAGTCTGGCCAGGAGCCAGCTTGGGCAGTGAAATCCTGACAAAGCCCATGAGCTCCCTTCCCACTACGCTGTCCTGCTGCCCCGGGAGTCCCCAGCCCCAGCCCAGGAGTGGGTGGGCTGGGCGGTCCCACAGGGGTGGAAGAGCCCCACCACCGCCACCCATCTGCTGGCTGCAGGATTGGCCAGAGGTGTAACGTTACCGGCAGCACCAGCTCATGGCGCCACCCGCTCCAGCCCCTCGGCTCCCACTAGCTGATCACCTCGCCCTGGGCTCTGGCACCCAGCCAAGGCGGGCTGCACAGGGCCCAGCAGGGCTGGGTGGAAGGGAGACCCCAAAGGATTGCAAGATCTTTGGGGCACAGAAAACAAAGTCTCCAAAGCCTCCAGCCTGCCACCCTTTCCAAAAGAGGAAACTGAGGCCAAAGAGAGGGGTGGGACCACCCAGGGTCCAGTGAGTTTTTAGTTGCACCTGGAAAGAGGCGGCTCTGAGACTGAGCAGAGAGTGTGTGCAGCAGGGGGAAAGGAGCCCAGAGGAGCCTCTACATTCTTGTCAACACACTTGGCCCCAGAGCGCAGAGACCCAAGTGGTTCCCTCATCTCTGCACCTTTCTGTCCACAGCAGTGGGCCTTGTCTGCTGGGAACGGCTCGTCAGAGGTGGAAGGTAAGCTGGCTGGGCTGGGGGTATGTGTGCTCATCCAGCCCTCCCTCCCAGGCCTCTGCGGAGGATGGGAAGAGACTGGCATGAAGGGTGGGTACTGGCTGAGACTGAGTTGGAGAGAATCTGCAAGCTGCCTGACATCCTGGCTGATGAGGTTGGCAGGGCCTGAGAGCTCCGCCGTTGTGACCTAGAGGCCTAGAGAGGTGTATTCCTGGGCCGGGGTCACCCAGCACACAGAGAACAGGGCTGGGGCCAGTATGCCCAGGGTGCATCCAGTTGGCTCAGAGTCCCTTCCCAGCATGTGGAAGGGGCCAGATGGGGTCTTGGAGGGCAGCTCGGGCAGTGAGTGCTGGGGGCCACACTGGCGGTCTGGGAGTGGATGCCGTGGGCCATCAGTCAAGGGGATCAGTGAGGGCTGAGGGGACCTTCCCAGCAGCCCAGCCCTGGCCCGTCTGCAGCGATCTGACGAGGCCTTTCCATTGATTACAAACAGACAGAATATGAGTCGGGCCCTCCCTGACCCCTCCACTCCCCACCCCGGGTGGCATCAAGAGGAAATCTTCAAAGGGCAACATGTTTGCCAAAAAGGCATACGTGCAGAAGGCAGGAGGTGCATGCCAGGGCCCCTGCCTCGCTCCTCCCTCCCGGCCTCTCCGAGACGTGCGGCGAGTCCACACACCACTGCTGAGGCTTCCTACTGTGCGTGTAGGGGAGAGGGAGTGTGTAGCGACGTGCACACGCACGCGTGTGATAGCCTCCGCAGGCTGGGAACACCCTCTCTCTGCTGGCCTGCCTGCCCGCCCACCAGCTGCCTGCGGGCACTTGGGCACCGAGTGGTGGGGGAGGTAGCAGCCCTTGACTTCACTGATGCCCTCCCCCTCCCCTGCTGTGCCCTCTGGGGTTTGGGGAGGGACCCATCACCCATCTCCACCCCATGGCCTTTATGATGCTTTCAGCATATTTCAGGCAACAGCTACCAAAGAAATCTGAGTCTCAGTTTCCTCATCTGTAAAATGGGAGCCTTAGACTACATGATATTTCAGGTTATTTTTCTAAGATTGTAGGATTATCTGACTCCCTAGAGGAGTCACAGGAGTATATATATCTCCCAGGGACCAGCGTGAGGAGGCCTGGAAGTGTCAATTCCTTAGGGCAGCTCACCTGTCAACCTCATCAGTCAGGAAGCCTGTATGGTGGCCAGGGGAAGTACCATGAGCTTTGGACCCCAGCTATCAAAATCTGAAAATGCCATGCCCTCCCACAAATGCCAGACAAGAGACAATGTGGTCTGCACTTTGCAGCCATGGACATTGATTTTTACTATTACTATTCTAATAATAGCGTTGGGCGTTTACCAGAATTCTATGCTGAGCACAGGCTGTGAACTAGGAAGGCATTTGTATTCTCCTCATTTTATAGATGAAGAACCTGATGCTCAGAGAGGCCCTTGGGGTCATCTAAAGCATCAGATACTCCTCAGTATATGTGGCAGAGCCAAGTGCATGGCACCAGGCCTCCCCATGGCTCATGGCTGAGCAGGCATGAGCAGGCTGTCCCTTGAGGCAGGCTGGCTGTGTGCCCCGCCAGTGACCATGGAGAGCACACCTGCTGGGCTCAGGCTGATGGCCAGCAGCTCTGAGACAGGCCGAGGGCCCCTCCCCAGCAGCCTCTCCAGAAGCTTGCTCTCAGGATTAAACATTTCCCTTCTTGGGTCTCCTCTGTCCTGGGTGGTAGGCAGCTGGAGCCAGGTGGGAGGCCTATAGGGCCGGCGGGAGAGCTGAGGGCCCACTTGTGGCCCTTGTGGGACCACCTAGCCCCACCCAGGTGCCTGACTGGGCCACAGTCTCCCATTCCTTTCCCTGCAACCCCTGCCTCTGGAGCAGGTCTGGGGCCAGAGGAAGTGCATTCAGGAGCAGCTGAGCAGAGTTCTTTCCTGAGGGCTCAGCCCACATCTGGGAGCGGTCGCATGCTCCCTCAGCCGGCCCCTCGCCCAGCCCCCTTTGTTTCTCTCACACACCCAAGCAGCGGCCTCCACCGATGAATTGCCCTCTTTCCCGATGAATTGCCCTTTCCCGGGGGGCTGCCAGGTAAACCAGGCCCAGCCCACCTTCTTTTCAGCCCTCCCCCAGCATGGTCTGGCCATGTGGCCCAGAAAGTGGTGGATTTCGGGGCCCTGGAGCCTGGGACCTGTTGACACAGTCTGCATGGTGGGGTGTGGGGGTGAAGACAGGAAATCTCTTCTACTGCCAAGGCCCAGCCGGCTCTGCTTAACCTGGCCCAGCCGGGTGGGAGTCTGTTGGTGGAATGGTAGGGGACTGGGGTGCCCCTTCTCTGCTGCTGTCGCCTCCCTGATGGCTGGTCCCAGGGCAGGAGCCTGAGCCTCCTATGGCACTTTGGCAGCTGGCTATTTCTCTGCTGTTATTTATGTTTTCCGAGGCAGAGATTAAGCGCTAGAGTTACATGGTGCTCGTGAAGATTTTAGACTAAACACGCGCTCATGGAGTTAGGATGGGGAGGTGCTCCTCTGACCTCGCACTGCAAAGGCCGCCTTCCCCCAGGCTTTGGGGCTGCCTAGAGGGAGAGCGCCTTGTTTCCCACTTGGATCCAGGGAGAATGTCCCTGTGGCTGGAGAGGTGGGCTCAGGGGAAGCGTCTGGTCCCCTTCCCATTCCTGGACCTAGTCCTAGTGCCCCCTGAGCAGACAGGGCAGAATGGAGCAGCAGACACTCAGATAAGCACGGTTTATTGCCTCTGTGGCCGCCTCTGCCAGCTCCACGTGGACACACCGCCTCCTGGGTATTTTCCACCAGCTTGCAGCCTTTCCCAAGGGCCTCTGCGAGGGCTGAAGTTTATTTTTCCTCTGAGATTACTCTGAGACTCACGTCCTCAGAGGCTCAATGGAATGGACTTCGGCCCCTTCTGCCTCCTAGGAAGGGCCGTGGAAGGAAGCGAGGGGCTGCCAGGAGAGGCCATTGCTCTAGGGCAGAGGCTGCAGGGTCCCCAGGTAGCCCAGCTTCCCTGCCCTCCCCCACCGGCTGAGGATGACCAGCAGGTGTAGGGCAGGATGACCCAGGGCTGGAGATGTTTCTCTGCCACAGTCTCAAGGCTGGGTTGGGATGTGTGCGCAAAGTCACAGACCGTCGTCAGAGCTGGGAGAAGCTTAGCAACCATCTGCTCCCAGCCTTCTTTTTCCCCAGCTGAGGAAACTGATATACCCAGAGAGGTTAAGTGACTTCCCCACGGTCACACAGCCAGTGTAGGGCCAGGACTAGAAGCCAAGTCTCCTGGCTTTAGCTACTCACTTCCTGGGAGCCTCCATTTGGGGCCAGGCCCCAGGCCTTCCCCTGAAAGAGCAGCATCTTTTGAGAGGTTCCAGATCAGCCCCTAAAAGATCCTGGTCACAACCACCAGGACGTTGTGGTGGTCCGGGACATCCCTGATAATCCTCAGTGTACTGTCATCTAATCAATCAGTTCTTACTTAGCCTCTGTTTACCGGAGGCTTGGGGCCCTGTCCTCACGGAGCCTCAACTTGGTTGTAAAGGAGATAAGAGCCACCAGTGGGCGAGATAAAGCAAGCCCTCAGGGCCGAGTTATGCTCAAAGGAGGAACATCTGTTCCTGCTGGAAAAGTTGGAGAAGCCTTCTGGGAGGAGGTGGCGGTGGGCCTTGAGAAACAGCTGGTGGGCTTTATTTGGTTAGAAATGAGAAGGGGGCAAGGAGCAGAGCCCAAAGGTGGGAATTATGGTGTTGCGGCATCCACTGGTGCAAGGGTTGGTCCGACTAAAACGGCGAGTGGGGATGGGGCACGTGGCTGGCTGGTCTTGGCTGCCAGGCAGAAGAGCTGGTCCAGGGCCGCTGGAGGGGCGGTGGGGGGGCGGGTGGGAAATAAGGGCTAAGGGGAAGGCTAACCCTCCCTGTGGGACTCTGCAAGCCAATCTTGCAGAACTCGCAGAACTGACTGTTTGCTGCAAATTCTCCAAGACCAAGGAAGCACCGGGTCAGGCCTGAGAAAGACCCAGAAGGCCTGGGGAGCTGCCAGAGCTGCTCCTCAGAGCTCCAGAGACACCAAGGCAGATGTGCGAGCCTGAGTTGAGAACAGAGCAGACAGCTCAGGGCCCCGAGAAATTCTGTTCCACTGGCATTTCCATCCAGCAGATGAGCCAAGAGGGAAACAGTCCTCCCAGAGGGATCACGTCAGGAGCTCGGAGCAGAGGGAGCTCAGATAGGCTGGGGGCTTCGTGGAGGAGGGGGTGGAGGCTGAACCTGGAAGGCCCTGCAGGACCTGGGGAGCTGGGGCTGGGGCTTTGAGGAGCAGGCCCCTCCTGGCCTGACCCAGCTGTCTGTGCCTCCTCGTAGTGGTGCCCTTCCATGAAGTGTGGGGCCGCAGCTACTGCCGGACGCTGGAGAGGTTGGTGGACATTGTGTCTGAGTACCCCAGCGAGGTGGAGCACATGTTCAGCCCATCCTGCGTCTCGCTGCTGCGCTGCACTGGCTGCTGTGGTGATGAGAACCTGCACTGTGCGCCCGTGGAGACGGTCAACGTCACCATGCAGGTAGGGAGAGTCCCCTCCTCATGCCCTGGCCTGCTCAGGGGGCCACCCAGCGAGGGAAGGAGGGCAGCCCAAGGTCACAGGACTGGAACTGACTCCAGCACAGTGCCCTCCTTCCTGAGCCCCCCCCCCCCCCCCCCCCCCGGGCTTTGAGCCCACTCACCTCCTCCCTTACCAGCTTACTCAGGCCCTGGCTTAGCCCTCCCCCAGGACCCAGGATATCTGGTTGAGGTTGGAAAAGAAATCTGCTCAGACTCAAGAAGCCTCTGTGTGTACCAGGAGCATCGGGTGCCCTCTCAAGCCAGCTCAGGCCCTGCACTTTGCTTGCACGCAGGCACACACACACGTGCACGTACACACACGATGGTTTGTCGAGTGCTTTCTGAACAATGCCAAGCACTGTGCCAGGCCCTTCATAGGTGTTACCTCAACTCTCATTCCTTCAAGACAAGTGTTCCTATTTCACAGATGAGGAACTTGAGGTTCGGAGATGTTATTTCGCTTGCTCAGCAGGTGAAAGAGCCGAGATTTGAACATGGGTCTTTCTGACTGCAGAGCATGGGCCCCCTTCCTACACTATGGCTATGCTGGTGGCCCTGGGTAGGGAGGGACAGGGGTGTCCCTCAGATGGCCATGCAGGTAGGAGGGCTGTTTGCCCCACCCTTAAAGCAGAATGAGGGCCTGCATCCAAAGGCTGGTGAGGAATAGGGAGTCTTGTCCTCCCCCCACGGAGAGGATGGAGAGAGTGTTGGAAACCACGGGCCACCCCCCAATCCAGGCATCCAACCTTTCTCTCCCTACAGCTCTTGAAGATCCGCTCTGGGGACCGGCCCTCCTACGTGGAGCTGACCTTCTCTCAGCACGTGCGCTGCGAGTGCAGGTAGGTCCTCAGGGTGGTAGGGACAGGACCCATGCAACTGGCAGCCTCAGCTGCAGCCTGCACTTCCTTCCTGGCTGGGAAATAGGGACTAATGGCCGCTGCCTTTTGTCCCACCATCGGCCGGTTTTGCCTGGGGAGGTGGTCCCAGCAGCTGGAGCACAGCTGTTGAGAAGCTACAGGGCTACAGGGGCAGAGGAAGCCTGGGTCCCTCCCAGACTTTCAGGGGCTCGGAGCATGTCACCTCCTCCCCGAGATGGGAGGCTGCTGCCCAGCCCTGGAAGAGGCACCTGAGGCAAAGACATTGTAAGCTGGGACTTCGTTCTGGCCAGGCTGGTGCCCCTGGGAGGGGGCAGCTCGGCAGAGGAGAGCAGAGAAGGACAAGCCCTGGTGGAAGGACGGGGCAGAAGGAAAGAGGCACTGGGCTTCCCTTAGAATTGAGTCCTCACCTGGCAAATCCTCTGCCCAGTGCCAGTCTCGCTGCCCATGCCCAGGGTACCCTGAACATTCGTTACCAGGAGTAGCCGGCCTGGCACCGCCAACCAGGCTGAGGGAAGAGAGAAATGGGCAGAGATGCTCTCCTGGTGCCAGTGGGCCATGATGGAGGCACCAGACTGGGGTCCTGAGCCCTATCCTGGGGCAGGAAGAGGGGAGGACTACCGCTTATTGTGCATCTACTCTGTGCCTAGCCCCACACGAGGCACTTTTCTCACTTATTCAACAAACATTTATTGAGTGCCTACCGCAGCCAGGCACTGTCCTAGATGCTTGGGATACAGTGGTGAGCAAGACAGACAAGGTATCTGCTCTCAGAACCACCCTGGGAGGTAGGTACTCTTGGCATCCCCATTTTACAGATGGGGAGACTAAGGTTTGGTCCGGTTGCATGATTTGCCACTGCTAGTGCATGACCCCCAGCCTGTCTTCCCCTAAGCCTGCCCTTTTTTCCTGCTGCCTCTCATGGCCATTACCACATGCTCTAGGAGCCCCACTGCTGCCCTGGGCTTGGCCCTGCCTAGTGTCTAGGGCTCTGGGAGCCCTTTTTGGACCTGAACCCAGGCTCTAGGCTCTCTTTATTGTACTGCTCTTGGGGGCCCTGCCTCGATCTGTTTCCTCCAGTCCCTCCCAGCCAGGGCTTAGTCATATGACAGTCGTTCAGTAGTGAACCCCCCAAGGCACAGCGCTGGATGGTGACCTTTCACCTTCTACCTCAACTATGCCCTCATAGCCGCTCTGTTGGGGCAGGCAGACCAGGAGACTGAGGCTCCAAGGGTGTCTCTGACTTGCCCAAGATGGCAGACACATGGCCAGGCCGTCCCAGGAGGCCCCAGTACCCTGCCCTGGCTCCCAAGGGAGACAGCCAGCCCAGGGCAGCATTCCCTGGCCCCGAAGCAGACTGTTAATATACTGTCCCACGCCCCCAGCCCCGTTCCCAGGGAAGACTGAGGCCCTGTCCCCTTCCAATGGGCTGGGCAACAGGGACATCTTTCTTCTTGCTTCTGGGCCAACAGCCACAGTGCCGGGAGGCAGAGCCAGGACATGCCTGGTGACCATGGGGCTTGTGCTCACCTCCCCTCACCCCACCCTCATCCACTCCCCGTGCAGTTGCCTGCAGCGTCACACATCCCCAGGGCAGGGGTGGCAGTTGTGCCCTGACAGGCAGCCTTAGCTCGTGCCAACCATCCTCCAGTCCATGGCCTTGGCCCTTATTCACTGTCCTTGAGGAGACTCCCAGAGTGCACCCTGGGAGGCAGGGCAGGAGCCAGGGAAGGAAGTGACCAGAGAAGGCAACAGAGAACAGGCTCACAGGTCCCCAGACTTGATGCCAAGGTGCTGAGGAGCAGAAGGATGTAGAGAGGAGCCAGGAGAGGGATTTGGTACCTCTCTTGGGGAGGTCACCAGAGTCTTGAGTGGAGCTGAAGCCCAGAGCCCTCTGGCTGTCTCTCCCTCGCTAGCTCCATGCTACCCCCTAGTGGCTACATTGCCAACTGCAGGGCCAGGACTGGCATGTCCGAGGCGAGCTACAGGGGTAGGGAGGAAGCCCCCACTTACCTCTCGCCTGATTCTCCCCTGCCTCTCTCTCTATCTGTTTTCCTAGGCCTCTTCGCGAGAAGATGAAGCCAGAAAGGTAAGTGGTCTGGCTGGGGCTCCAGGTTTTTCTCGGGCCTGCCAGTCCCTGTCCTAGCATGGGGGCCCCCAGCCACTTTGTCCTGACGCTTTTGGCTTATTGCAGGAGGAGACCCAAGGGCAGGGGGAAGAGGAAGAGAGAGAAGCAGAGACCCACAGACTGCCACCTGTGAGTGCGAGGGGGGACCATGGATGGCAAGGAGGCTGGGCCAGAGGGGAGCCCCGCCCTGCCAGCAGGGGTCAGTGGTCGGAAGGGGAAAGCAAGGCCCAGGCAGTGGACCCAGGAGTCATCAGGAGACCTTAGTTCTCGTCCTGGCTTAGCCCTGAGTCTCTGTGTGGCCTCCAGCAAGTCATGTCACCTCTCTGAGTCTAGTTTTCCTCTGTGTGGAGAATGAGGGGTCAAGGGCCCAGCAAGCATTCAGTCATTCTGTGAATATTTACCAAGCATTTACTGTGTGCCAGATTCATCAGTGACCAAACCGACAAGATTCCTGCTCTCCAGTGCTTACACTGGAAAAGTTGCTGGAAAAGTCCAACAGCTGAAAACTTATCCATAGCTGCTTCCTGGCGGCCCTGGGAAAGGTGCAACCCCTCACTGGCTCCCAGGCCAGTATTTCTGCCCACCCCCAGGAGGCCTTGGGGTCCACTCACTTCCTCTTTCCCTTTCCATGTTACCTGCCTATCTTGGCTTCATACCTGGAGTCCCAGGCTGGAGTCCAGGCCGGGGTTGTGGCTGAGGTAGAAGGACTAGAGAAGGGAAAACCCGAATCCATGGGAGTAAATAGTAAAAATAAAATATTTCATATGCACTGGAACTCACTCACACTGCCCTTCTCCTTCAGGGCCTGTCTCCTCCCCCTCTAAGACCCCAGGAAGGCATTTCATGCCGGGGGATTGGAGCTGACCCAAGCCCCACCCCATGAGCCTGCCCCTCCGTGAGCAGAGACTTCCACCCCACTCCCTATAGACAGGGATTCTGGGGAAGTTGGTTCCCTGAAGACATGTGGCCCTTCTTTCTCCCCTGGGCCCAGGCAGCAACTTGGAGAAGGAGCTGGCAGTGTAGTCAATGCAGGGCTGCCCCCAGGCTGGGCAGCCCCACATAGAAAGTGTCTCATTGCTCCATCTGCCAGGACAGCATTCTTGAAAAGTCTCATTCAGGAATCTCCTGAAAGAATTTCAAAAACCTATGTGCTCCCTTGTTCTTTTTTTTTTTTTCCTTAAGATTGGCCCTGAGCTAACATCTGTTGCCAATCTTCTTTTTTTCCCTTCTTCTCCCAAATCCCCCAGCACATAGTTGTATATCCTAGTTGTGAGTGCCTCTGGTTGTGCTATGTGGGACGCCACCTCAGCATGGCCTCATGAGCAGTGCCATGTCGGCGCCCAGGATCCCAACCAGCGAAACCCTGGGCCACTGAGGCGGAGCGCGCGAACTTAACCACTTGGCCAGGGGGCCGGCCCCATTCGTTTTTAAGTTGACATTGAACTTTTCCATCAAAATTGTAAATAGTTGCAAAGGATATCATTTCTCGCATGTTATATATAAATATAAAAATACTGTAAATATTTATAAATGTTATAAATATTTAATATAGAGCCCTCATATAACTCTTCAGGTGTATCCTATGAATAGGACATCCTAATTTCCTACTTACCATCATGCACTTTTAAAAAATGAACAGCAACAACAAAAAAATATGAACACTCTCATTAATAGTTGCATATTCACATTGCTTCTTTTTTTCTTGAACTTGTATTTCCATTTCACTTTGCCCATAGACTTTTAGCTTAATGAAATATTTTTTTAATGTTCAGAAGTCTAATGTATCACCTTGCTGTGTATACCCACCACAACAATGGTATATAAGTCTGAATTATTTAAAATTTCCCTTGAACATAAAACTCTAAATTAAATTTTCTCCTGGAGTGAATTCTCACAATAATTACTAGTAGTACAGATTGATCAAATCAGCACAAATGCATCACATTTTAATAAATGCTAAACATGAAAGTGCAATCAGTCTTATCAGGAGTGGCTCTCAATGAGATGGATGTGGCCACCTCTTTTCAATTAGCTAATGAATGTTGCCTCCTGCCAGACAAGACAGCGTCCAGCGCTCCTTCCCTCCCTGTCCGTCCTTGTTTATAGACGATAAAGGATGAGAAACCGCACCCACGTAGATAAGTGAGTGGAACTAGATGTCACTCAATCACTTGAACTCCTTCCAAGTTCTTTGCCAAAAACCTCAAGGTGATGTGCCAACAAAAATGACTTCTCCTGACATAATTAGCTGACAATTCAGTCAAGTTGTTCTTCAGTTTTGTTGAAAGCAAGGACTCGGAAACCGCCTGACTTGTGAAAGGCTTGGTTGCCCAGTGGTTCGCCGTATCTCCCTTCTCCATAGCTGCACCTCAAATTGTTCTTTTGTTCAGTGTGTCCCCCCAAAATACTTTTTTACCTTGGGGCAAAGTACGGTAGCAGGGTTTGCAGTGGCAAGATGCTTCCTTCCTTTCTTAGGGGAGAAGGGCAGGTGTGGCTCGGTGGTGGGGAAGCCGACCTCAGGCGGGGAAGATGGTGGGGAAGCAGACGTCGCGGGCAGACAGTTTTCAGGCAGAGCACACGTGGAGGCTGAAAACTGATTCCTTTAAAACCATCAGTACTCACATACACCTTGGGCAATCTTCCTGTACATCTAGGGGTACCTGAAGCCCCGTTTGAAAACTGCTGTCCCAGAGTAACCAGAGGCATTAGTGCATGGAGCCAGATTGGGTTCAAAGCTGGCTCTGTCACTGACTAGCTGAGTGACCTTGGGCAAGTTTCTTAACCTCTCTGAGCCTCAGTTTCCTCATCTGCAAAAGGCTGGTAGTAACAGTGCCTTCCTCATGGGATGCTGTTAAGGGTAAATGAGAGAGTGCTTGGCGCAGGCTGGGGCAGCTGGGTAAGTGCTTGGTGAAGCATAGCTCCTGGCTTCTTGGCGTCGGTGCAAGCAGAGGTCCAGGAGTGCTGCAGTCTCCCCACGCTGCCTGCCGCAGCTCCTGCTCCGGCCATCTGCCTGCCCTCCCCTAGGAGGGACCCCGCCCTCTGCAGTGGGCTCATCCCCCGTCTGTGTTTGTTCTCTGCAGGTGCGGCGATATTGTTCCCCGGAGGTAACCAGCCCCTCGGAGGAGAGAGAGACCCCACACCCGGCTCGTGTATTTATTACCGTCACATTCTTGGTCACCTCCCTGCTGGCACCTGCCCTCTATTTATTAGCCAATTGTATCCCTGCTGAATGACTCGCCCCCTCCGAGATGAGGGGCAGGGAGGGACAGGACCCTCAGGAATTCAGTGCCTTAAACAGAACGTGAGAGAAGGAAAGAAGGCAGCCACAGACCCGTGTGTGCCTCAGCTTGGGAAGAAGCAGGACATGTGGCTTTGTGAGGGGCAAGCCAGGCCCCAGGGGCCCTGGGGGTCTGCAGGGGGCTGGCGAGGGAAGGGGAGAGGGACCCACTGCCACTACTGGTCCTTGGGCTCTGCTCCGACAGGCGGCCTTTGTTTTGGGAGCTCCTGCCCAGAGTGGGGTTGGAGGGGCCTGCTCAGGCCACCACAGTCCAGCTGGGCACAAAGGCAGGCGGGGTGCGGGGGGTCCCACTGCTTCCTCCTGGCAGCAGCTCCGCACCCTGGAGATCAGAACGTTCAGCTCTGGAGAACAGTGGTTGCCTGGGGGCCTTTGCCACTCCTTGTCCCCTATGGTCTCTCCTCATATCTTACCACTGCTTGTACTGGGACATTGTTCTTTGTGGCCAAGGCGTCACCATCCTGCCCCTCTCAGGGACACAGGCCAAGAGTGGGCCCCAGGCTGGACAGGGAGCAAGCTGCCCCTGCGTAGCTGTCTGACTGCCAAGCCAGATTCTCTTGAATAAACTATTCTAGTCTGGAAACAGCTTTTCCAGGGGAGTGTCTCTGCCGGATAGTGGACAACAGCAGAGAATGGAAGCCGGACAGAGGAAGGGCTCCTGGGCTCCCGGCCTGCCCTGGAGGTGGCTCCGGCCTGCTCTTGCAGCGTCCTGGGCTGTCTTCCTCCCAGCTGCTTTTGGCAGAACCCCAAGGTCCACTCCTCCCATAAGGAGAGGTTCCCAAGATGTGATCTTGACCCCAAACTGGGGGGCCCTGGCCCCAGCCACCCCTGAACACCCTCAAATGCAGGAGCACAGACCCCTTCCCCTCCCCCCAGTGCTACCCCACCCCCAGCCCAGTGCCAGGCCCTCTGGACCCCGCGTGAATGGGGCTCCCCATCTCCTCAGGTCCTGGTCGCCGGCTGCTCAGGCTCTGAAGGCAGGGATCCCCAGGGGCTGCTCCATTTTTTCTTCCTTTCACCTCCCATCTTTCTCCGCCTTCTCTTGAACACCTTGGCATGAAGCAAAAAAAAATTCCTGTTTTTCTTTCCTCAGTCCAAACCACTTACCATCAGACTCCCATGTGCCTGTGACCCACAAGGTGTGTTTGTTTTTATGTCATAAGTGGTGCAGGAAGGGGAGTTCCCATTTTCTGATTGGGGGCTGCTCAAGACAAACCCTCAGGGGCCCAGGGGGCAGGGGACCACCTTCAACTTTGGAGGGAAGCCATAGACAGTCCGGTGGGGCAGGGTGGGGTGGGGTGGGGTAAGGTGGCTCTGCTGAGGCAGCTCATGAGGCCTGGGCACCCCTGGAGGACACTCTGGTCAGAATGTGCTTCTGGCTGGTGATCACAGAGGGGGTGTGGGCCAGCCCCGGGGGATGCACTTTGCAGAAGGAACACACTTTCTCTCCTGCTTCTCCGCTCTTGGGCTGCAGCCATTCTGAGGCATTGCCTTTGACAGATTGAGAGCTGAGCAGAGCACCCCTTCCCCTTGGCCAGGCCTCCAGCTCGGCCCCAGGGACCCCAGCTCAGCCCCTGTAGCATCTCCAAGGCTGTCAGCCTCACAAGTCACCCACTTCGAGGTTAGCCTCCCCACCAAGGCCAGCAACCCTGTGGAGACCTAGATAGAAACCGGGGAGCTCCTGGAGGCCAGGTGCAAAGATCTGCATCCATGGCCGGGAGCCTCACAGCGGACGAGTAGGAAAAGAACTGACTGGTCCATTTGACTGGATCAGCGGTCCTTTCAGGTCATTTGGGTCCTAGAGGGCCCGTCTCATTTGCTTCTTACGTATTCGTAGAGCCCCACCTGTGTACCTGACGCTGTCCTGGGCACCGAGGACCCAGTGGGGATAAAACACACAGGGACCTGCTCTCACAGATCTTGTATGGAGTGGAGAGACAGACTGTAGTCCTGTGTTACAGGATACTGGGTAGGCTTTATTCCTGCTCAAATTGGTGACTGGACCCAGAGCTGAGGAGAAAGGGGTCTTGAGTATCCTCCACTCTAAAACAAAGGAAAACCTGTTTAAGGCTGAACACATCTGCCTACAGGGTTTATTGAGAGATGGCTGAAGTGATTCCACTGGTCCCAAACATCACCCAGATCCCCCTTCCTCAGTCTCCATGAGCAGAAGACCAGGGTTTTGTGGGGCGGGGGGCTGGGGGGGTCACTGGAGACCTGGTTTGCTGGTTTCTCCCTCCATGCCTCACTGGAGCTGGATTTGCCATTCAGATTAGCCCATGTGCTATCCAAGTGGGAACTGAGGGGAGTGGAGAACTGAAGAGTGACAGAGGACAGAGGGAGGGACACCTTGGAGCCTCCAGCAAGGGTTTCCTGCAGGTCAGGGGGACATGGTGGGAGGTGAATGGCCATGAGCTGCCTTGCCCATGACATTCCCCTCCCAAGAAGGAGGCCTGCAGGCGAGGAGACCCCACGGGCTGTAGACTGTGCATGTAGGATTGGGGCAGTGGCTGAGTAGGGGGGTTAGATGCGGAGCTGGAAAGGAGCACATCAGGGAACAGTGCTGTGGGGTGGCCTGCGGTGTGCCCACAAGACAGTTGGCATATGGATGCTCGTCATGTCAGGCACATTCATAGCCAGAGAAGAGATGGCCACGGCTAAGAGGGAATTTCCCCAATTCCTCCTTCCTGACCCTGGTTGAAAGAAGAGAAAGGGAATGTGGAGAGGGAACCGGGTACAAGGGCAGACCATGCCCCTCTCCGCTCCCTTGAGCCAAATCCAGGTCTTGCCTTGGGGAGGGAAAGGGGTTGGTCTTAAATTGGAGGAACCAGCTAGATGGGGCTGGACCTTTAATGAATTAAAGTGACAGGAACATTAGAAGAACTGCTCAAGATGCTGTTAAGAGACAGGAAAAGGAGAATCAATAAAGTTCATCTAGAAGCAATAATGAAAGAAAAAAACTGGTTTGTTTGTACTCCCACTCTTTACTCAGTAAGCAAGTTACACACGTAAACAAAGAAATTAATAAGAAAGTGTCTTATTGCCAAAGTGTGGTTCTGGCGTATTAGAGATGGCCTTAAATTCTCTGACATTCCTCCCCTTGAAAAGGGAGGTCTCTGTTCCCTCCCTTTGAATCTGAGTTGACCTGGGTCTGCTTTGATCAATATAATATAACAGAAGGGACCCTATAATAGTTCCAAGTTCTTTTAAGAGGCCTGGCAGCTTCTGCCTTAGTCTCTTGGAACCCTGAGCTGCCATGTAAGAAGTCCAGCTATCGTGAGGTCACCATGTTGGAAGGAAGCCCAGGCCAGCCATACAGAGGTGTGGAGAGAGAGAATGAGAGGGAGAGATGCTCAGCTGGCCTCCAGCTGTTCCAACTTCCAGCCATCACAGTCGAAGCCCCAGACCCCATGGAGCAGAGAGAAGCTCTACCTACTGTGCCATGTTGGATTTCCTAACCCATAGAATCATGAGATAGAATAATCACAAATCTCTTGGGGGCAGTTTGTTATGCAGCAATAGAGGCTGAATGGAAAATAAGGAAAGGGGATGAGAGAGTGTTTGGGGCAAAGTACTCTGGACCAGGAGGTCACAGAAGGCTTCTCTGTGGAGGTGACATTTATGGTGAAGTTTGAAGGACAAGAAGGAGTCGGTCATGTGAAGATCACTCCAAAACAGAGGACAAGAGCACTCCAAACAGAAGACACTGATGCAAAGGCCTAGAAAGAATTCCAGTGTGGCGGGAGCAGGATGGGCAAGGGAAGGAGGCACATGAGACGTGATGTTAGAGGTTGGCAGAGGCCAGATCATGAAGGGCTTTGCAGGGTAAGGAGTTTGAGTTTTGTTATAATGTGGAGGAAAACCATTGGAGGGTTTCAGTCAGGAGATGAAGAGATATCGTGTACATTTTTGAAAGATCACTGCCTTCTGCATGAAGAAATAGACCTTAGGGGCACAAGACTAGGGGTGCAAATATCACTTAGAAGGCTGTAGCAAATCCTGACAACCCATTATGGTGGCTTGGTCTAGGAAGAAGTACTGGAGATGGAGAGAAACAGAGAGTTTGGTCGTAATTTTGCATGTGGGCTGGTTACCCTGGTCATTCATTCATTCATGAGCAGTTTTGAGTCTACTAAGATGAGCCATTTTGTAGTAGACACTTGTGAGGAGGCAAAATATATTAGCATGTGAATGTCTTCCCAGTTTCTCCATTTACCAAAGAAAATCCCGTTCTGCAAGAAATAAGAGAATAAGGAGAGAGGTCTTAGCTGCAGAGGCTGAGTTGATCTACCTAAGAACTAAGAGAGAAGGCAAGCCCGGAGGGGGAAGTAGACTTCAGGGCCAGATCTAGAGAAAGAGCTTGGGGTTTCGTTGTGGAGCTTCTGATGATTTAAGACCATTTGGGGAAAGAAGGAGGGGTTTTGGGAAGTGCTGTTACATTTCCCTCATGTTGAAGGCCCTGATGTTCTCTGAGAGATGCTCACTCAGTGAGACGCTAGGCAGAGACCAAGGCATGTGGAGTATTTGGATCAGCTAGAGTTACAGAGAGAAATAAGACGTTGTCTCTGATCTCAGAAAGTTGGTCAGAGAAATCAGATATGCACAGGTGGTTATAAGAGAAGGAAAGAAGGCCACCTGGCTTAAGCAGATGCAGATGAAGTGCTACTAAAGAAATCACAGGTATCTGAGATGATTCACACCTGGGGAAAATCAGGGCCGGCTTTGCAAAGTCAGTGGCATGTGAGCCGTCACTTGAGGAACGGGCAAGATTGAGGGTGGGGAGATGACCGGGAAGGCATTCTAGGTGGAGCAACCAGTTAACAAAGACCCAGAGGTGGAAAACCCATGGCTGCACGGGGATTTTCAAGTGTTCAGTTTGGCTGATGCTTAGGGCACGTGAAGCAGAAGAGTGATGGATAAGGCTGGAAGGTAGGCTGGGCCCTGGACACCGTCCTGGGGAGTTAGGGCTTCGCTAAGCAGTGGGAAACACTGAAATTTTTAAGCAGGAGAGTGACGTGATCTTGGAATTCGAGGCTGAAAGAAAATTTACAAATAATCCGTTTCCACCTTCTCATTTTACAAATGAAGAAGCTGAGGCCCAGACTCATGGCCCCAAAGCCATGAAAGTTAAGTGAGCCAGAATTTAACATTTTACCAGTAAGTGACTGAGATAGAATTGAATCCAGATCTGTCTCCAAGGCCTGTGCTTTCTACCCCTCACCACATCATCTCCTCAGGATGGAGAGCAGGGGAGGAGGGGAAAAGAACCGTGTCTGCTCCAAGCCCGAGAGGCAGGCCAGACATCTGTGAGGTGGGTCGGCGTGGGTCAGCAGAATAGGCCCCTCCACAAACTCTGGTGGGAAATCAAGGCTCCAGACAGGGCGGAGACAGGACAGAGCCGCAGTGTGGAAAGATGGCTGTCTGTCAGCACCAGAGCCCAGCAGCTGTTTTCCTAGAGAAGGCTGACCCTTCCCTTTCCTGAGGGAAGCCTGGAGCACCCCCCTTTCCCCCGACATTGGCTGTGACTGAGGCAGAGGAGGGCCTGGCCCCTGCTAGCCATCTGTGGGCCCCACCTCAGAGACC